TATATGATTATTGAGACTGAATGCGGCTGAATGCGACTGAATGCGACTGATGCGACTGAAATATTTTTTGATTGGTCTAAAAATTATGAAAATAGCTGTAATATATCTGATATTGCATGAACATAAGTAATATCTGTTTATAAGCAGTATTCTCATTTATATCCTAACTTCCAACCTATCTTTAATGTTCACCAAACAATTAAAAAACAATCAATATTATACAAAAGAAAGGAAAATGATTGCAAAAAGAAATTGAGAATAACTCATCAGAAATACAAATCTGTGAAGGATTATTAATTACTATAAGAGAAACAAAATATTTAGATTATGAAACTTTATGACACTATTATTAGAATACAAATAAATAAAACAGGTATTATAAAAAAAAATTCTCTATAAAAAATTTTCTTTTTAAAAAAATTTTTTTTTACAAACCAATGTTTATTTTACTTTAAATTTTTATTTAAACTTTTACAATAAAACAAATTAGTTATATTTTAAATAACCTCAGTTATGAATTTGTATGGTTATATTTGAAGATATGAATAGATTTGAAGAATGATTGATTGATCAATAAGTTATAAATAATGTAAGTATTTTAAAATCCTTTAAGTAAAATAATTGAATAAGATTCATCATTAAATCTCTAATTTAAGTAATCAATACTGAAACGCAAAAAGGAAATTGATTCAATTCCTAAGTTATAGAAGTATACTTTAGAATATATAGATCAGTTAGATTAAAATTAAATTATAAATCATAGTTTTTAATAAAATTTTATATCTATATGTCTTTGTGATCATATATTTTCTCTCACATATACTATTTTGTATATGCTAACTTAATTTTTAATAGATTTAATGAATTTTTAAATTATAATTTAATATTGATTAATTAATTATTTAATTATTTATTATTTTATTTATTATTAATTTAATAGAATCCTGTAAATATATTTTTTGATTTTATAAAAATCTTAAAGATAAAAACATTTACAAAGATTTATTTTTAAGTTGACAAAATTGAATCAAAGTATTTTTAAAGGATTTTAATAAGATTATTAAAATAATATATGATTTTAACATAAATCATAAATTAGATTTAGCTAATAAATATCTTCACAAATTTGTTACTTATACAAATATAGAAAAGGAAATAGATTTAAAAATTATTCATAAAAATCAATCAATTCTTTTAAAATATGATGATAAAATGGTTGGAATAATTATTTATAATGCTACTGAAAAAAATGTTGTAAATCATTTTGGATATAAAATGAAGCTTGCTATAGATGCTTATTCAAAAATAAAATTATAGAAAAAAAACCCATGCTGGTCAACTAAGAAAGAAGAGATATATATGTAAAGTAATTATATTAAAATATCCTTTATGTGAAGATAGAAAGTCAAAAATGTCATTAAAAAGTTTGAGAAGATCAAGTAAAAGAGATGAATTTCTTAAGCTAAAATAATAATACTTATGCAAATTTTTTAGATCTATCTTTTATTACTTTATATGTATATAAAGAAAAAACCTAGAATTAGAAGTACAAAAAATATATAATTAAGATGATAATAGTTTTAGAAAATGATTATATAAAAATGCTAAAGATTGTTTAATGTAATTTATGTTATTATATGAATCATTTAAACAAAAAAGTAAATTTAAGTTATAAATAATTAATAAAACTACAGAATATTGAGATAATGATTAATTAGAATTTGCAATAGAATTTGTTTTTAAAATTAGTTTAGTTAAAAGAAGATATTTTATTTATCCAAAATATGATACAAACTGTATATAATACAACTAAATTTGATTTAAATGAAGGGAATGTTTAACGTTAATATATTAGCATTATTACTTTAATAGAAAAAAATTGCAATAGCAATAGAAAAAAAATAGGAATAAAAAATTAGAATATTTTTTTTTTATTATTTTATTATTTTTATTTTATTATTTTTATTTTATATAAATAAATATGTATTATTCATTAATAAAATCTATTAAAATAATTTTCGAATCTATTTAATTAAACAATTAATTTTAATTATAAAAAAAATAGATATATTTTTAATAATATATTTCAAATATTATAATGTTTTTCAACTATCATAATATATTTCAACCATTATAATTCATTTTGACCATTATAATTCATTTTGATCATTATAATTCATTTTGATCATTATAATGTATTTTGACTTTCATTTTGAATTGTAAAGTAGAAATATTTCAACTATTTATTTTAATTTTGACTTCATGTTATTACCAGTTAAATATTCACTATTGAAAAGTTGATATATAAAGAATTATCAAATGATCTATAAAAATTACTAAAATTAATTTTATATTGATTACAAATTAGAAAATCTGTATAATTCTGGATCCATAGGATTCTTAGGATTCTTAGGATTCACTTGATAAGCCTTATAAGCTGAATAATTGTTATAATACTTATTTCTATTATTTTAATTATTTTTATTATTAATATTATAATTATTATTTTCAAAAGCAGTTGATTATGCCTCACACATATACAAATAGGAGATTTTAATAGGGTTCCGATAAAAAAATTAATAACAAGCACAAGTAGATTTAATAAATAAAATATTTCATAATTTTGATTATAATTTATTTTTATTGTCTCAAATATTTCATACTTAACAGAAGATGGTTTTAATTTTAATCATTTAATTAAGGAACGTGAAAGACATGATGCATATAATACTATTAAAATTGATAAAGTAAAAAAAAGTCTTATACACAATTTTTTATTTAATGGGAATATTTTTGATAAAACATATTATTTTGCATCTTCTCCAAGCATTTTACTTAATATAAGTTCTTGAAATTTACGCCTACTAAATGATCCGCTAATTCAAACATGTTATCGTTTAAACTAATAACAATAAATTGTGCGTCCCTAATACGTTCTTTGATATAATTTGCGACGATTGAAACATTACGAAAATCCAAGGCCGCATCAATCTCGTCCATAACACATATGGGTGTAGATTTGTAATGGTGCAAAGCAAATATTAGAGCCAAAGAACAAAGTGTCTATGTTTTGTAAAATAATTATTCATTAATTCTCAAGTATAATTAAAATCTAAACATTGAAACTTTGAAGAACACACGAAATACCTTTTCTTCACCAGATAAATCTGAGATCGTTCTCCAGCTCTTGTTCGGCGGCTTAACGCTAAAAACGACACCATCATAATAGGGGTCCAAGCCATCGCATTCAAGCTTGGCATTTCCTCCAGAAACAAACCTCTAAAAACAACTATTTGTTTATATTTTATATAACATATATTGAGATAAAGAATGTCATTAGATACCTGGTAAATTTCTTTAAGCTTTTGAGAAATAATATCGAATCCATGCATGAATTCGTCCAATCTTTGCTTCCTTAAATTATCGTAATTCTCTTTACATTCATTACACTTAAAAGTAATCTCTTCAAAATCTTTTTGTCGTAATTATATGCTTTTTCACAAATATTTTCACAAATATTATATTCCATCAAAATATTTAGATTTGGGTTGGCGTTTTCGATTTTTTCTAGAGTTTTTTTTTTTAAAAAAAAAATAATTAGATATAATAAATTAATAAAATATAAAAAAGATAAATTAGAATACCTTTAAGAATATCAATCTCTCCTTGTAATGTATCTTTGTCCATTGCATCGAGCTCATCATCAGTATAGATTTGAAATTCTTGCGCCTCGTCAACCCTATTATAAAGGTCAATGAGATAAATGGTAGAATGATAATTTTAAAAATATCATCAGCATGCCTTACCAAATTTCATGAAGTGTAAGGTCGCTAAGAGATTTTCGCCAATGAATTTCTTTGTTTATTTTCTGTCAAATTGCGTTCAAGATCTTCTATTTTGTTTTGGAGTTTTAGCTAATAAAGTACAGTTATATTAGTCATTAAAAACAGATTCACTTAATTTTAAAAAAAATAATGATAAATATAAATATAAACCTCAATTGCGCTAATCTGATTAATAATTTCGGTTTTTTCATCAAATTTTTCCTTGATCTCACCTAATTCTTCTTTTTTACTTTCCAATTTCTAAATATTTAGAAAACATTTAATTTAAATAAGCATTTATTTATTTATATTAATAAAAAAATTCAGATATAATAAATCATAAATACAGATTTGGCTTCATCGGCTTTAATACGAATGGAACGTGCAACATTGGCTTTCTGTTGAATTTCTTTTGTAATATTTTCTATCTCATTATTTAATTCTTCTAATCCTCTTTCATTATTTGCTAGAGAATTTTCGAATTTTTTCATTTCCTTTTCCGCCCTTGATTTAGCCACTTGCGACTTGGTAGGTCGCTCATTTATTAAAACTATTTGATCTTTAACATGATCTATTTTAGACTTTTGAGCTCGAAGTTTACCCCCAATTTCCAAAATCTTATCTTGCAAAATCTTAATCTCTTCATTAATTTTAGAAGGTTGACGTTTCAATCTATCCAACTCTTGTGTAAGATGATCATTTTGTGATCGAAGTTGTCCCATACGCTCTATATTTAAATTCTCTTTTTGCCTTAAAGGAAAAATCAAAAAAGAATGATTTTTATTAGCCTTTACCAAGAATTTATTGGGGGAAAAGTTCTAAACATACCGTAACTCGATTATTCTTGTTTCATTATAGGTAATACTTTTTACGCAAACATCAACGCATATCTCTAACTTTGATAGCTCAAACTCTAATTTAGGAAGTTCATCCTTTTTCTCTTGAAGTTGAGATACTAAAGAACTAACTTTTTCATTAACTTCTCTCCACTGTACTTCTAAGTGATTAC